AGTGAATCGTCGATGATAAAACAAGTGAATCGTCGATGATGAAATAAATGAATCGTCAATGATGAGACAAATGAATCGTCGATGATGAACTTAAACAAGTGAATTGCCGATGATGAAGCAAGTGAATCGTTGATGATAACAATGACTATACTGTAATTATATTTACACAACGTGCAAGGTATAGTAAATTAATTAAGTACAAGAAACACGAATGTAATGTGAGAAGACTATTTGTAATTATATTTACACGACGTGCACGGTATTGTGAAATATAAACAATATGCAACTAAATAAAACATGTTCTATGAATACACAGGATACCATAGGCGACACATTATCTTTGAAAATACAGTAGCCCTACACAAATAATATAAAGTTTCAAGAAATATACCACTTGTACAATTTTAATTATACTGTCCTTATTTACCAAATTCAGCCTGCAGCATAATAAATTATTTATCACGCTGTAGATGAGTTGTACTATCACTTGAATTGTTAAAATGTTTTAATTAAATTCTGTGTTCCCTTCTGGTAGAACTTATAGCGATTATACTCTAATTTTAGTCAATAAATTTATGTCAGTTAGACCATAAAAGTACCTCTATGTATTGATCTAACAGGTAAAAAAAAAACATACCTAATATATAGCACTAACATTCAAGGGCTATATGGAGGAGCACAATGTTGTTGAATGTGGGTGGTTTTACTGGGGTTGGTTGAGAGGTCATACCGCATAAACATTGTTTATCTGGATGCCCAGAAAAAATATGAAATAATGATGAAATGATGATGATGATAATAATAATAATAATAATAATAATAATAATAATAATAATAATAATAATAATAATAATAATATTGTATTTCCTTAACTTGCAAATTCTTTTTATGATTTAGTTTAATTTATAGATCAACTGGAATCAAAGAATATGTCCTCATTGTATGACTACATGGTAAGAAGGGGGTCAGTTTCACATTTTTGGTTAATGTCCCCCACACCTTTAATAAGGGTACCCAAATTAGGGGACATTCTTATTAAGGAAACAGTACTTTATTTGTTCTCGAAGGTGGCCCCTTAATAGGGGTTCTACTGTGATTTCATTTATCTCTTAGTTGGAATATTTGTGAATCTATGGAATTTTGAATGTGATTTCTATTCATGTGAATAATACTTTCATTTGGTCCAAGCAATTATATGACTTAATTATGTGTCTGCTGTATGTGGCACTTTATTCTAGCTCATGATTGGCTGATTGTTTAATTAACCTGTTGCTATTTGGTCCTGATTCGACAGGACCCCGAATATGCAAAGTTAACACCCTTTTTCTAGGAGTTTTTACCCAAGTAGTTTTAGTTGTAATTTTGGATTTACAGTGAAGACAACTCAATATATTCATGGACTGGATTTCTAAAATTGTCTGACTTCAGTTTTCCTTTCCATTTTGAGATGCATATATATCTGTATGTAACGTACTGAAGTTGTCGCTTTAGCTCTGACCACCACCAATTACTAGATTTGTTTCATGTATTTCGTTCATTAAGGTTTCGTTGTAAATAAATGTATTACTTGTAAATAGCTGGTTTTCGCCACAGGACGTTAACCGTAACGTTAACGGATGACGTCATAATTTATTTATCTTGCGTTGCGGAGTACGTTAATTTTAGTATTGTACGTGCTCGACGTACGTTAGTTACGTGTTTGCGCATTTGCCTATTTCGATTTGTTTACAAAAGGGTCGGAACTATCGCGTTGCATGTTGGGTACTAACGTTAAGGTGAAAGTTAAAAGGCGGTGAAAACTACCTATTATCACAAAAGTCTTGATTTCTTTCTATTCGATCATTTTGAGCCAGTATCGTAACATATGCAAATAGATATTCACATGAGTGAGGATTTTTGAATTAGTCAAAATTATGCACAGCACATAAACTAGACCCATATAAGGCAACCCTGTAAAAACTTGTGCATCTTTGAGAATCAGCGATTCATCGTCGGTTCACTTGTTCATCATCGACGTTCACATGTTCATCATAGACGATTCACTGTTTCATCAACGTTGCAGGCTGACAGCCTTGTCACGCTTGTAGTGATAGCATTGGTAGTGACGATCACTATAGTTTTATTTTGTTAATAATACATTCCAATTCATTCTAAACTTAACCTTGAATTAATTGTGATGAAAACTTGTATACAAATAGGGCTTATATATTTATTGTTTTGTACTTTTTTATATTTCGCTATGTTGATATATTATGAACTTGCCTACCTTTTTGACTCTAGCAGAAATTACCTGTCCATGTCTCTGGGGTTTTTAGTAATTTAAAAAATAAACATTTGCCAGTGGATCTGAACTATTAAAATTAAAATTTCAGTAGGTTATTAAATGGTGGTGTTGTCGATAGCAATAGCAGTTCATATTTCTCTTCAACTGCTGTTCAAATTGTGTGTATATTTTAATAATAAAATTGAGTTATTAAAGTGACTGTAAGTCTAAATCCTATAATTCATGGGTGTATGCAAGTTGGGGGGGGGGGATCGGGAGGGTCGTACGATCCCCCCAAAATTTCAAAGGTTCACATTTTTTTCAAAGACATATTTTGCTAGTGCCTTTTCACAATGAAATAAATGAAAAAGCATTGGCGAGGTACCGGTACCAGCAATGAGTTCAAAGACCTTGCCATTGCGTGACATAATCTATTTCAATTCCAGCAATTTTGAAACTGAGCCTACCATCCGCTTCAAGCTGGTGGCGCTTTCAATCGATTTGATTTTCCTGTCTCCCTCTGAAAGGTCCAAAAATTATGATCACGACCCACCCAAAAAAAATCCTTCATACACCCCTCTGTAATTGTCTAGGAATTATAGAGAATCAAAATAAAACAAAATAAATAAAAAATTAATAAAGAGAATCACATTAATTTCATCTGTCTCTTTAAAATGGATTTTTCAAATGAGCATTTAATATTTCTATTAATTATTGTTTTAGCCTGTATTTAGTGGTAGCACTAATCAAGAAAATACCGTGTTTTACAAAATACAAGAGTTCTACCGGCTAAATATCCACTTCGGAGATTTTCCCGATTATTCCACAGATACAGTGTATTAATTAAAGACAATTTACGACAAATCTAAGGATCACTATAAGACTAGAGAATGTACACACGTAAGAGCCAAGCATTCAGATCAGGGGCATGGATAACCGCATGTCCTACACAAATAGTTTATGGTGATTAAGGCTGTGAAGAAGTATCGCTTCTTCTTGATTAATATCAACAGATGATGATACTAGTAGATCATCTGTTCTATATACTCGAGCTAGCGAAGGCGTTGTCTCGAAAATTACGGAAAACCCAAGTGATTTAAAGCCAACTCAAATCAAATCAAATAAAAGTGCTCACACACCAATCTTTAGTAAAACTCAGACACATTTGAAGACAGTATAGCTGACTGCCGAGAAAGGTGCACACATTCTAACTTAATTAGGGAAACCCTGTTAATTGTACAGGTGAATAGCCCCTCCACAGTTATAATACAATTATTTCTAATTGGTTGGTTCTAAAGCTGATCACCCAGTGATTTCGTAATGTGGTATTTCCCAACAAAATAACATCCATCACCTATGTTTTCAATATATTTTTTCATTCAATCTGCTCTTTCTCAAATGCTGACAGTACGTTCACGGATTGTAAACTCATTGATTCATGAAACCAAGGAGGTATTAAATTAAACAATATATACTTTATATTATGCATTTCGCTTTATATGATGTGTTTATAATCAATACTAACATTTTGTATAATTCTGTGAATATTCATTAGATAATATTATATTGCTTTACTAATAAAAAGCTCTTTATAAAATCGTGTATTAGGATAATACCACTACAGCATATAGATAAAGGTGTAAACTGACTAAAATTATCCATAGGGACTTATAGACCTATAAAATTACATTTGGATTTGACTCGACAGATGTATTCATCACAGGGCTTTGCCATAAAAAATGACGTGTATTCTATTTAAATGACTTCTCACTTTACACAAGTGCTGTGTTTTTCTTAACTTTATCTTCCAATTGTGTTTTTCGCTACGTAATTGTTTAATTTGTCATTATTAATGTCTGATGTTACTCATCCAGTCCATGATGCTATTACACTCAGTAAATCTGGTGGATTAATTCACCCTAAAGTTAGATAAAGAGATAAAAGAAAATTTCCATGACGGAATTAGTAAATAGACCTATTAGATTCTTTGATAATCCTTTTTCGGTTTGAAGTTTCTAAATTTGTACATTGGTATCTGTGTTCTTTTTCCTGTTACATCTGCTACAGTATACGTCACAAAATGCTCGTCTGAAATTATAATTCATTGCATTATATATCACAGGATTTACCGATGAATTTATATAAAAAATCAGACGGATAATATTAAATTTTGAAAAGTTTGGTGCAATAATATAATTTATTAATAATACCTCATATATGTAAAATGGTAGGACGCAAGCAACATAAACCGTAACAGTTACAAATACTGTCAAAAAAACTTTCAATTCTGATTGCGATGTTGGTTCTCTTCCGGTCAAACTGGTTGCTATACCTCGCGACTTCCGCAAAGACATCAGCATCGCCGTGTAAAGAGCTACAATGATCCCAATCATCAACACAGTGAGTGCTCGTTTTACATACCAAAGAATATTATAGAATTCGTACCATCTAACGCCACAGGGTATGTAAAAGAATTTGGCAAAGTATCGACAGCAATGAGAGGCCAACTTTCGCGGATAACTGTATGGACCTCGACCAGATAATACACATTCCAAGACAAACATAAAAACCAGATGATGGCACAGATCTTTATAGACCTGGAACAAATCCCAAATCCACTTTGTTTGAACTTCAAAGGTATGCTGATTGCCATGTAACGTTCAACGGACAGCCAACATATTGTTAAGATTGCCACATTTATTCCTGTTTCCTCGAGGAAGAAACATAGTGGACAAACCCATTTCGGCGTTTCACCAATGTCATACGATTCAATTACCGGACTTTTAATATAAGAGTTCCATATCCAACCAGATGCAGTTATTAGGAACAACGTATCAGCTATTGCTAAATTTGCAAAGTACATGTTAACAGGTGTGTGCATGCACTTTTTTCTTGCTATCACGAAAATTGTCAATACGTTACCAATGATACCGATGGTGACTACGATCGGCATAATGATGGGGATGATAACTTTGTCCAAATCCGTATACAATAATGGTTCTATGTTATCAGCCCAATATTCAATATAGTAGTCATTATCTTCTATCGTAACGTTTTTATATGATTCGTTATTGACGTCTGACATTCTGACGGAGAAAGCAATAGTTTTGCTGTAGAGATAACAATGAATGAGAATACAGTTAATAATGCTTTGACAGAATTAAATTTTTCATAGTTGTGTTACTAAAGATGATAGTATAATGATCATTGAAAAAATAATAATAGGCCTAATAATAATATTAACAATAAAAATATCATAATAATAATAGTAGTAGTAGAAGTAGTAGTAGTAGTAGTTGGTAACTAATACATTTACCGTTTATCTATACTGTTACGCCGTTCAAGCAACAATGATCGTCGATGATAGAATTGAATCGTCGATTATGAAAAGTGAACTGTCAATGAAAAAAATGACTCGGCGATTATAAAAAGTGATTTATCGAAAATGAAAAAAAGTGAATCGTCGATGATAAAAAGGGAATTGTCGATGATACAGATTGATGTTACATTGACCTTATTTATTGTTTCATAGTATGAATTCACAAAATTTACAGCATTCATTTTGAAAAGAAGCCCCTGCATCCGCCCCAGATTATTACAGCCCTTCCATTATTATAAAGAATAGTAATACGTTACCAGAATAGAATGATTCTTTCTTTCACGATTTAAACAGTGGCCTACTAATTCTTCTTTTCATGAAATTTTAGCGCTATCACAGTATGGAAGTTTCAAATTCAATGCTCAAAACATAATTTAACATTTGATATCCGTAAGCTGTGCACAATATTCGGTACGAGAAAGGTTTTGGACACGTAACCGAAAAATAAATCTAAATATGCCATGGCACTTGTGACACATCCATCCATTAACATGTTCACAAAAAATGTCGGCGAATCGTGCTGTCGGAAGACTGGCATTCGGCGAAATGTGGCGTAGGCAAAATCTCGTGTCGTGTATCATTATCTACAGGATTGCCAGCTGCTATTTCTGGGCATCCAGATGTGCATATTTTCAACATAGACTCTATTTCCGTGCTAAATTTATATTTGGCTGCCCCCTTGAGGGAGAGGTATAGCGGCTCTAGATTGCCAGCTGCTATTTACGGGCAATCAGAGGTGCCAAAAAAGATGTTCACCAACAAAGGTGGGGCTGAAGTGGATGCTCTCAGACCTCACTAACTTTAAAATCTTGTGTCTGTGGATAGGTGTAGTAGGTCTCCACTCTTCAGTTGCTACCAGATTTGCTAAGTGCCACCCTAACTCCCAACCCCCGCTCTCACTATAATGGCCGGACCGCTTGCAAATTGCTTCCAACGGCTATGACTTGGTACATAGTTTTTTTTAGCGTGGTGCAATCTCTGCTTATTTTACCTAAGCGTGGCGGTTATTTTTCGTTTGTTCGTCCAAGCCACGCTTAAGTATAGCTGGCGAGGCCCCTGTAAGAATATAAACCTACTCCTTTAAGTAAGTGGTTTTATACCCAAGAAATGACAACTCTACGACAGCACATTAGAATTACCTTACCCACAACCACTACTTTTTCTTATTTGGCTTTATAAGCAAGACTTTTCTATCCCTTGTTTTGCGAACTTAGTTTTTTAAATATTGTCAAAGGGTGGAAACAAAATAAAAATAAAATGCCAAAAACATTCAGATAGAGGAGAAAATAAAAATAAAATTCTATTATTGAATGTAAACAGTGTAATGGGATGGTAAATGCTTTAAATTTATATAATTTGGATGAAATATACATTCCATATATTTGGAGATTTCACGCAGCAGCAAGCATAATAAAAATAAAGAAAAACTTTTTTTCTGAAATTTCAATTTTTTATGGCGGCAGGTGCGTTAGTTCGCCAAAAATAATATTTTATTTTGTTTTGAAATCACCAATATTGGCAGACGACGGGTTTTGCGAAACAAAGTATATAAAAAAAATCTTGCTTTACCTATTAATCTTAATTCGTCTAATAATTATGTATTTATATTTACAGGGTCCAGCTCTAATTGCTTCACTGTGGGGCGTGTTCTACTTCCATGAGATCAGAGGAATTAGAAATTATATAATTTTAACATTGACATTTGTGGTCACAATTGCTGGAGCAGTTTTAACAGCTTTTTCTAGATTGTAAGCTAAATTTATCGTAGGCCGTAAGGTAACTTATTTAATACTTTTAAATGCTGAATTCATTATTTTTAAAATTCAACCAGAAACAGTAGGAATTTCAATTATTTGATGAGTATATTTACTATTTCAATATGATCTTTTATTATTATATAATTAATACTTTTAATTAATATTTTTCAAAAAACACTTTATTGTTCATTTCAGGACAGGTAGAATTTGTGTTTCCTTTGCAGCTGTGTTAAAAAGGTAAAAATGATGAAATTACATGAAAATTACAAGACAAATCAACCTGACAATAACAAAACAGATATTAGCAAGTTAAATAATGAAAGTTCGAGAGTTTTAAAAGTCATTATATAAAATTTACTATTTATACCTCAGGGACAGACTAATTTAATTATAGCAATAGTATATCATAGGTGATATTCATGTTGCAATTGTTTTTGTTTTTATTATCATTATTACGTCTGCCAAAGAGGTTATATATTCACCGCTGTCTGTCTTTTAGCAAGATTATGCAAAAACTAAGGAATGAATCTTCATAATATATAGTGCAATTGTATAATCTAAAGAGATTTAGGAAGAAAAATGTCACAGGACAAGATCAAGGTCACAGAAATATATATTTAGTGAACTTATCCTAAAAACTATAGATGGAATCTCCCGAATGTAATTTTTTGTGTATGTTTAATGCATTTTTTTTCTCATATTATATGAATGATATACAGTATTAAAGATAACCATTAGTTTTGCTATAAATTTATATTGAATATTTGAATGGTTTTACACGTCCTAAAGTCTTAATTGAGGCTGAGATGACAGGGAAAAGAGCAAGAGGAAGAAAAAAAAATTAAAGATGTTAGATTGGATGATGAAGAGTTTGGGAGTTAGAGATGGAAAACAACTAGGCGAGATCGCAAACGACAGGAGAAAATGAAAGCAGAACCCACCACCATGATCCGTTCACGGCATTCGATGCCATGACACTAAAAGGGTGTCTAAATAATACAATAATGTATTTGCCCTCTAAAAGAGAG